TCTGCAAAACTTTATATAAACATCTTCCTTCAACATCCTCCTTTTAGAATTATAATTCTTGCATCCCAATATATTTGAAAGAAACTAAAAAGAGAAAGGCTAGTCTAGAACTTTTGTTTGCTTAATTTCATGACATCATTGCAAATATAATTCATTCATCCTAGGAGATTCTTTTCATGTATTAACTCTTTGGCATGGCTTTGGACTCCAGTTAGAAATTTTAGAAGGCTGGAGAGAAAAATAAAACCAGAACATTGAAGCTATTTAACAGCATGTTGCAAAACATATTGCCAAATCCTAGGAGGACATTTTTACATCCAAGAGGTAGCTGCAATTAACAACCAGAGCAATACAAGAGATCCAGTCTATTAGCACAGAGAGATGTTGGATTAGAGCATGCTGGTTACTGCAAATATTACATGCAAATAAATTGCAGGATTTGAATGAAGTTGAATGGTGCTATTCCAAAGCTGAATAGTTTCAAATATTTATTCCATGATTTTATAACAGCAGCAATTCAATTGTTTTAAAATGCAGTTATACCCTCAGTATACTATGGCACTGTATTATATTATAGCTTCCTCTATGAAGTTATTACAGTACTTTTATTTTTTATCGTAACAGGTTATTGACAACTGATTTATCTTCCAGCTAACCATAGAAATTCACAGGTGGATTTACCATAAATTTACCATAAAGAAAAGGGGGGAGTTTGTACTCATATGGGTGGTACTCCAAACATAAGATGCTATGGAATCCCACACATTGGGTTTCCTTCAGAGTCCACTTAGGATTTTTCTTTATAGCATCTATGTTATTATTAGCCTTTCTCTTTGGTAGGTCCCTTGTTAGATTTAATTTCATATCAGGATAAGATGATCTATATTCATATTTACAGTGCTAATGCTCAAAGACTTGTGAACAATTTACATAATATCTAGATAAAAAAGAAAAGAAAAAGTATAGGGTAGCCTTGCTATTTCTTTGGTGTCCAAGGTAATTTTTAAAAACTCTATAAAGAGACACAGTAACAGTTTATATAAGAGAGATCTGCTTTTTTGCATGATTGATGATAGAACACATTTCTCACTAACTGAATACCAAGAAATCATCTATATCTGTTTTATATTTAATACTTGCTTGATACTTTATAAATTCAAGAACAAAGGTTCAAAGATTTCCCTAGATAAATTTATTTTAATTTTAAGCACTAGCATGTCAACAGATATCTATTGTTGTTTTTTATGCCTCATGGGAAAGTGTTCCAATGGGAACACATTCAATGGGAATATGAAACTTGGCTGCTAAATGCCATGTAAACTATAACTATCAAACAACAAACTAGCATCCAACATTTTTAACAAAAGGGAGGAAAATTTATTTAATGTAAAAGTTTCTGCATTATTTCTACCACTAATTTGTTAAAGTGTTCTTTCTACCAAATACAGACACTCCTCCTTCTTATCCTCCTCATCCTTTTTCTCGTCATCTTTTGTACTTTTTCAAGAATCATGTCCTCCAGAACTGACTGAGACTTACTTGGGAAGAAAACATGCTTAGATCCAGGCAGTTAAGACACCACTAATACTTCTCTCTGTCAAACAATGTACTCCTAAACTTCAGTGATGTACAGACATCCCAAGGGAGGCATATTCCACTCAACAAGAACTCAGGGTAGTAAAGTGAATTGTAATGGAAGGAGGGTGACACTTTTCTATACATATTTCTTTTTTAAAAAGTTAAATCTCTCCTCTGTGAGAATCCCAGAAGCCTGCAAAAAGCACAAAGCAAGATTCAGCATTGCAGGATTCTGCTGGAAGAATACATAAAAATAAAACTGATTATTTTCCCCCCTAAAACAAACAAATTCATGCCACTTTACTATGAATCTAAACTCAGGAGTTCAATGAGCTTAACTCCCAGTGAATGAGCATGTCTTAAATCTCAGCACATTATAACATTACATTAGACGATATTAATTATATCAGATTTACACACATACACAAACAACTGCATCAAGTTTTGAGCGGATAAAAGTTGTAGAGTCTCTTACCATCTGACAAGTCTATTAGTCCAAGGTAGTGCAAAAGTTTCAGAGAGGAACAAATCACCACCACAATCCCTAAAGTCTGGAGACCTTCCGACTCGCCTTGGCTCCACATCCTTTAAAGTAGCACACCAATCTGGTATGTTAAGAAAACGGCAGGCAGGAGTTGAAAGCAAGGGGAAAATCAGCCGTTTGAGGCTTTTCTTCCTGCTGCTCTGTTAGTGCAAACCTCATTTTCCTTCATTCATCCCTCTGTTTCTCTCCGTGTGTGCAGGAGTGTGAATCTCACCCTTTGCTTGTTTCCCTCTTCTTTCACCTACCCTCCTCCCTTAATACTCTTAAGGCTTATCATTTCTATATTTTAACTGATGATTTAGTCTCTCACTCTGCCTCTCCAGAGCAGTTTGTGTCGTTCATTTAGAACAAAATTCCACACTGCTAGTCATACAGCAGTGTCTGTGGTGGAGCTGTTATTTTCCACTAGGGGTTATTTGTTTAACTCTTTTTCTTCTAGCTTTCGTTGCTTTGTATGATGGAAGATGTGGTAGGAAATCTCTCCCCAGTTTCCTCTCCCCTATTGTGCTCTTCTTGATGCTCCAAGTAAGATATCTAAGTCTCAAGACTTCCATTCAGAAATATGCAGATGATCCAACTGAGGGCTTCAAATATGCCCAGGGGTCAGTTGAAGAAGTTGCAAGACCGAGCTAAGCAAAACCTCTGTTTCACTTGCTGCTGACACCACTACTAGTCTAGATACTCAGTTCAACTATTGGTCAATGAATGTAAAAACAGGGAGATGGTAAGTTATTAACTTATTTTAATATGTTCCCAGTTGGCCAAAGCATATGTATTTTGTCCTAGATTAATAACGCGGCCCTCATCAAGTCAAGCCTTATTAGGACATAGCAAGCCTTTTAGGACTGTGGACAGAATAGATCTTCCTTTTTTTAATAAAAAAAAATAAGTTTTGAAAAAATTAAATCATTTCCAAGATGTCAGAGTTTGTGCCTTGAAGCCTCACAAGATATCCAGCAAGCTCCACATAATTTTTTGGGTAATTTCAACTTCATTAACATTATTTTTATTTTTTTATTAAAACTAGTTATTCAGTGTCTCAAAAGGCTTCTGACTCTGCCCTGTTCATATTAGATATTTGTGCTTGTGTTGTCTTTTTTCCCCAGATGGTTAAATCCAGTCTTCTATCTAGCCTATGTTTTTAGCTGTCAGAACTGTAGCCTGGAAAACTGGATGCTGAATTGATAATTGTCTTTATTCATGTAAATTTATGTTCCATGTAAGCATGTCTTATTTAATTTTAAATGTTAAGACAACAGGGCACAGCTATCCGATTCCAGATTTTTAAAAATTATATACATCTTGTGTATTTGCTTAGTGAAAGGAGAAATTTCTTAAGGAGAAATTTCCTGACAGAATATTAATCAGTGGAATGATTTGCCTCCAGAGTGCTCTAACACTGGAGCTTCGTCCAGCATTTGTCTGAAATAGTATATGGTTTCCTGCATGAGCAGGGGGTTGGGCTAGAAAACCTCTAAGGTCCCTTCCAACTCTGTTATTCTGATAAGTTACATCTGTGCTTACTTCATGCTATTATATTCCTTTAAGATCATAACTTTTGGGTGGCACATCATTTCACATAATTCTTAACATATTCTAGAATTTTCTTTTAATATCGTCAACAGGTTTGGTCTTCGTATATTTATTTCAAAATTTTGTTGGTTTAAATTCCTTCTTTTAAAAATCTTACAAATATGTCCCTTGGATAATACTGAAAGGATTATAAAGATCTAGGGGAGGAAAATGTAATTCTCTAACTACATAAGCTCATACATCAGGGAGTCATCATATCTATTTTCATGTATGTCATTTCTTTCTTTAATCAAATTATATTTTTATTGAATCTTGGAAAAAAACAACTTAGAACATTATTGCAGTGTTAAATTAGATATTAATAGCAAATGCATAATGGGAATGATACTATTAAAGAATAATGATGAAATGTGTGTGCGCATTTGTGTGCTATCTTACACAGCAAACTCATCATTTAAAGGTCAATCTTGCCAATTCAACTTAAGCATTCATGTGGATTTAAGCCTTTTTGCTGCTTCCTTGTTATTTTAACTCTCAACATTTCCATCCAATGCATAGCCATCCGCAGAAACAATATGAGATTTTTACTTGTGTTCCATTAAACACTATATAAATTTCCTATTCAGATATTGTTATTCAGTGCTGCAAAAGCTAAAAATGAGATGATGGGTGTTGTGTGTGGTGACATAAAAGGACTGGCATGCACGGTATTATTTCATTCTTAGCATGGTCAGCTATGTTTTTCAAAATTTATTTGGTGATGCCATAAATGTCATTCCTAGGTAGGTATAACTGGATAGTTTAAATTTATTTAAAATGTGTTAAAATCACTTGAAAAGTAAAATGTCTACTCAAGGTGAGTTTCAGACCAATACTTATTAAAAGATTACATTTTTTTTTCTTTTGCAAAAGTTCAAGAATACGGAGATATTCACTCCGAAAAAAATGAAAGTATTATCTTAGAAGACAGAAGAAATACCGAAAGTGTTTTCTGAAGTGCCATCTGATATGACAATACATCCAATTTCTTATATTATTTATCAGATTGCCATTCCATTTTTCTATGAGATCACATTCTTTAAACCCACAAATCCAAATGCACTGCTCAGATGAGAGAAGTCCTAAGGAGATAGCTTGAGTCTAATAAGCTTTTATTGTGGAGCCCAACATGAGTTACTTACGATCTTCAAGGAAGAAATAAATAGGCATTGCCATTTTAAGCGTATTGGCATATCAGTTCATCTGGCACTTGAGAGCATGCAATTTGTCAAAAACTTGGTTCCTTCCAGGCAGAGGAAGAGCACAAGAAATGAATCAGATTTGTCAGCTGTGTCATGGATTTTACATTCTGTTTTCTACTCTTGATACTCCCACCCAGGAACTGTGTGCAATTGTGAAGCCAGATCCTTCCTAGTTAACAACAGACCTGGGAAACATTAAGAAGGTATGATAGAGTCCCTATTCCTGAAGTGCTGTCTACTCATTTTTCTGCCCACTGCGGTTTCTGGTTGAAAATGTTTTTAGTATTTTAAACCTTTCTAATACCATTGCAAGACAACAGACCATATCTTCATCTCTGACTTTATCATTATCTCTATGTATAATTTCTATCTCTATCAAGTACCTTTCCATTTTTCACAAAAGAATCAGTATCTCCAGATTATATTTACCTTGCAGGACCATTTCAGAAAAAGGAGTAATAACTCTGTTTAGTTATAGAATTAGAATTATTATTATTCAAGTTTCCTCCAGTATAAATAGCTAGTGTAGAGTTACAGAACTTAATATTTCTTTCTGATATTTCATCGTTTGTGATAAATCATCTTTCCTGCTGATAAAATATCCCAGGAATAGAAGTTGATACTTAGGAACCTGTATCTAGTTTGATTTGATAGCTGTAAGGAGGACCAATCAGTTATGGGTAGAATTCCTGCAATTGTCCGGATTTTCATGTTAAATCATTCTCAAAGACAGAGTGGTAAGTTGATTACTAGCATACATCTAAGATTCCCTTTTCTTTAGACTTTAGAAATTGGGAACAGGAAAAGCCAATGCAAGTCTTTTGATTGTTTCCACCCTCATCTTTATATTTGAAACATGTGCCCACATACATGTTGCATATAATGTTATTGTTTGCCTTTGGATATTAATAACTCATATGTATAACATGGACTTAGATATGAACAACACATTTAAAGTTATTCTTTATGAACAATAGGTTTCGCTAGGTTTCATTGGCATTTCTCTTCAGTCCTCTTTATCCTCCAAATTTTCCAAAATTCATACACAAGATTCAGGAAATGAAAGAAAAAAGTGGAAGACAGTCTTGGGGAAAAAACATTTTCCTTTGGACAGGAGTAATATAAGAGAGATCACAAGTGCTGAGTTATTTAATACTGACAAGTAAAAATGATGCCTTCCTTCCAATCTTCACTTCAAGATCTAAGCATTCCCCTGGCTCTAATTCATGACAGCCAAACCAGAAGGCAACTTTTGTTAAATAATCTACCCTTGCATAGTCAATTAATGAGAGAAAGAAGTCCTTTGCAGACTAATTTGGCCCTGAGGTCATCCCCATCTAACATGCCATGGCTTAAGTTTTTTTGAAGCTTCTCAAAATTTATTCAAATAAATTATTCTGGGACTATTATCGGGATCACAAAAAAATCTTTATAATGCCAGCATTAGGAGCAGGCATTGGTTTGCATTACCATCCTCTTGTATCATTCTTCTTTACTCAGCTTCCCCCCACCCCAAATCGTTTGAAGAAACTATCAAAAATGCATATACCCATCATACTCTTAAGTGCCTTACAGTGCTCTGTAAAAGTTAAAAGTGGCCAGAAGTTTCTATATAAGAAAATAATAATAATAAAATGCTGCATAAAATATAAAATTATAAGTTTTGGTGACAGGTTATAGATTAGACTTTATAATTAGACTTGGACAAGCTCTGATCTTCTTGATATGCCTTGAACTCAGCTACAACCAAGCTCTATAGCATTAATTCATCAATGTGTCTAAAACCAAAAGATGTGCATGAAAACAACTTTTGAACTAATAAATGAAAATCACATACACACAAACACATCTTTATTGGAGGGGAGGAACAACAACAACTCTGGAAAGAAGAAGAAGAAGAAGAAGAAGAAGAAGAAGAAGAAGAAGAAGAA